TGTAACTTCTTCTCTCACAGATGCAAAGTATTTCAATATTATTCACTCTCTATCATTCTCCTTTTTCTCCCTCCTCACCCTAGTCTTTTCAGATAGTTCTACTATTGGAAACACGCATACACACACACATATACAAATATATATATATAAATATATATATATATATATATATATATATATATATATTATATGATCAGGCTTGAATTTGTGTATACATTTATCTTCTAGATCTATCTTCCAAATATGAGAGAAAACATGTGGCCCTTCTCTGAACATGGCTTAGTCCACATAACATGATGATCTCAAGTTCCATCCATTTACCTGCAAATGACATAATTACATTCTTCTTTATAATATTCCAGTTTGTGGTATAAATTTTAACATTTCCTCTTTAATTCATGATTTTCTTGATTTGAGTTCTCTTTCTTTTTTTCTTAGTCTGGCTAATAGTGTATCAATTTTATGTTTTCAAAAAACAACATTTAATTTTGTTAATTTTCTAATCTCGATTTCATTTATTTCTTCTCTAATCCTTGTTATTTCCTTCTTTATACTAACTTGTACTATTTTTTTTTTTGCTTTTCAAGCATATTGAGGCACACTACTAACCTCTTATTATTTGAGATCTGTCTTTTTTTAATGTAGGTGTTTATCGCCATAAACTGCTTTTGCCATATCCTATGGTTTTTTTTATATTGTATTTACATTTTATGTTACCTCAAGAATTTTTAAAATTTAACTTTTAATTTATTCATTGATCCATTGGAACAGTTTCTCTAGTTTCCAGGTATTTATTTCCAGAGGTCTTCCTGTCATTGATTTATTGATTTCCTGTTCAGTAGTATTGTGTTCAGAAAAATAAGACTTGACCTATGATTCAATCTTTTTACATTTGATAAGATTTGTTTTGATTTATTCTATTATATATTCCATATATATTTGTGAAGAATGTGTATTACTATCTATCCAATTAATATTTGCCTTGTGTAAGTGTTTTCCAGTGTTGAGTACATATATTTATAATTGTTTTTCTTTTGCTGAATTGATCCCCTTATTAATATATAATAATCTTCTTTCTTGTTACAGTTTTAATAGTCTATTTTATCTGATATAGTGTTGCTATTCCTGCTTTGTTTTGATTTTCACTTGTGTGGAATATGTTTTGTCTCTTCACTTTCAGCCTACATGTGCCTTATGGGTGAAAGAGTTTCTTATGAGCAGTATAAAATTGAGTGTGTGGATATTTAGCTGCTCTATGAGTTTTGACTTTAAGCATTTATACCAAAGGTAATTATTGATAGTAAGAACTTACTACTACCATTTTGCTCGTTGTTTTGTGATTATTGTATAGATTATCCATTGTTTTCTTTCTTTTTTGCTGCCTTCCTCTGTGTCAAAGTGATTTTTATCTAGTGGTATGTTTTATTTCCTTGTTTTAAAATGTGTTTCATCTGTTTTCATGTATTATTAGGTTTTTATAGCCTTCTTGAATTCCCTTATAAATTATTTGCCCCCTTTTTTCTTACTGATTTCCAGATCTTTCTTCACCTTTGATTTTTGACAGTTTAATTATAATAAGTCTAGAGGTAGTCTTACTTTGGCAGAATCTGATTTGAATTGCCAGGTTCTAGTAACAAAATATCCAAATGCCATTTCACTGTGACAGCCATTGCTCCTCACTGTCTTTTTGTACTCTGTGGATTGGTGATGGGATTTTAATATTTTGAGGAAATTCCAGAAAGAAGACAAGGACAGACTTGGGCAAGACCTCAAACAGGGATCCAATTCTGACAACAAACAAATAGGGTGGCCATAAGATCTGGAACAGCAGTTAATATGTGGTTTATTGATATTTCATTTCAATATGCAATAGAATATATAGTATGTTTCCAGACATTATAATTTCTGTCATTTTATTTTAATCAGGAAACAAGTACTTTTAAGGCTGAAAAAAACTGCATCTTGTATAAATAATGGGTTGTTAAGATTATTAAATGTTTGATAAAACTATTTAATTGGGATTTCTTTCTATATGTATTAAGCTACACATATTTTGCACTAGTCATCCCTTAGAGTGCAATACTTGATGGTAAGAGTGTGGATATTTTAGAATTCTGAGCTGATTGTAACCAACACTTACCTAAATCCAGAAGGCCTGTTAATTCCTCTGTGCCATGTCTTCTTGTTAACTAGAAGAATTAATGCTGGACCTCAAATTCCCTACATTATAATCAAGGAGTTCTTTGGGTATTAATAGACTCTGACTCATGCAGTTAAAAATTACGTGACCAAATTGTTTTATCTTAAAGAAGCAAAAACAGTACTTTATAAACTAACAGAAGAGAGTGTCCTTGAATTATTTCAAACTATTTGTATTTCATGTCTCATTTTTCACTCCAAAACCCCAGAAAAGCCTTACATTGGCCATAAAGTAGAAAGAATAAGGTCATTCCTGAGAGAGAAATGATAGTGCTGTAAGTTACTTTAAAGCGTTTGATAACAGATGTTCATTTTTTGTAATGTCATCTGTGTAGCACATTTTACATTTATCAAGATACAAACTCTTATATATAAAACTCCTTGTATAAAGTTTTATTATTTAAACTTGATGTTTGTGCAGTTATAAATTATTTATTTTGAGAATTGGTAGAGATTTCAGAGATGTATGATCTCGTTTCTTTACTTTATAAGTTGTAAATGTAAATGAACTCTTATGATCATACATGGAAAAAGATCCCTGGGAAATGTGTTTGTTGCTGTATTTCCAGAGGTTAGCACAGTGTCTGTCTCAAAGTAGAGGCCAATAAATCTGTGCTGACACACTTACAGACAGATTAATAGAATAAGGTTCACACAAGTACTTAGTTGTGGAGATCTGTAGTCTTTTAGGTATCAGTCCCATGCCTCTCTTGAAAGCAGTTAAAACATTATCATAAATTAATCCTAGTGTTCAGGAGAAGATATTCAAGTGTTCAAATGAATAGTTAAGAACCAGCCTTTTCTGTTATCCAAAGGCTGACTGAAAGGTAACTCTGGGTTAGAAACTGTAGGATCCTCTGTCCATAGGGAGGGGCATTTATGGGAGGGAGCTTCTGTCTCTCTACAGAACACAGGGAAGCAAAGTAGACAATTGTAGTCTCTATATCCTACTGCCTACTTGGTCTTAGGGGTGATGAAGGGTTGAGTTTCTATCATGTACAATATAGTAAAGCACCATAAATTCTCATCTTACCTGATCACCTCCTGAGTCCTCTTCTTAGCTTTATAGGCAATTTTTAGAGAAATTCCTAAAATGGGGCATGTGAACTGTGGAATTGTAACTCAAAGATTTTTTTCCTTCCCAGAATGATAAATGGGATTAAAAGCAAGTGATGTAAGAAAATTACATCATTTTCTTAAAATACAATGGAAGGTATTGAGAAGATTCAGAAGATGCAGTGTCTTTTCCTCTCACTGAACAGTAATTTGGTAGTTTTCATAGAGTCTTGGATGAAAAAGAATTCTTCTGCAGAATTTTTCTGGATCCACCTCCATCACTTAGGCCCTAGCCAATTTAGAGCTTGGCAGTGGCTTAATGTAGGAAACTTGGCCAGATAATACTTAAAATTATATTAGATATGGCGTAAAAGTAGAGAGAAAGTGTCTTTGTTTTTGTCATTTGATACTCAAATTCATTCTTTTTTAATCAAAAAATAAAAATATGGTCAAGGAAAAATCTCAAATATTGGCCTCAAGACCCCAGAACCATGAGTTCTGGATCCCTCCTGACTCCTTGTTCCTCCTTGAGCCTGGTCTGATGGACTTGCTGCTCCTTTGTCATAAGACGATGTGCTCCACCAATTGCGTACCTACTCATTTGGGTGCAGAGACTAGCAAAAAGTCCTGCAGTTCACAAAGTGTGTTCAATGACCATCTTTGTTACTTTACATACACTTGGAGATCACACCTTTATTGAAAGATGTTTATCAAAGCATTTTTTCAAAAAATGGTCTTTTCTTAAAAGATTTTTTTTTAATGCCAGTTTTTTGGGAGAATATGACTTTCCCTGGCTCATTTCCTTTGGGAAAATAGAGTCATCTGTAGAAATCTTTTACTACACTTAAGTGGGACTTTACAGTGAGAAGTTTGAAGCTACATTTTGAGAAAGCCTTTGTTTACACTGACTTTGCCTGGTATGCCATGATTCCACCTTGAAGAATACTTGGTTTCTCTGAATGCAATGCTTTTCAAGTCTGGCCATATCATAATCTTATGGAAGAGTTTTAAAATACCTGTGCAGACAAATTAAGTCTGTATTTTTTTTTTTGGTGCCACTCAAGCAAGCACTGATTATCTATCTATCTTTGTACCTATCATCTATCTATCTCTACCTAATCTCAAGATGAAGGAATTTTCTGCCCATACATTCATCTGTTACCACTGTTTCCACTCCAGGACTCATCATGCCACTGCAGCAATCTTAATTTCTGCACATGTCCATCCTCTCTTCAAAGCTCTCCACTCCACCATCAGGATCCTGCTGATGTCTAGTTATATTTTAGAAAACTGAGACATCTCTACCCTGGAAGCCTTCTCCAACATACCAGACTGAATTATCTGATCCTCCCGTATTATCCCCACACACTTGGATTTTATTGATCACAGGTCTTACTAGACTGCATTGAAATTGCTTACGCTTTGACCATCTGTCCTGCTATAGTGTAACCTTGCTAAAGGAAACACTATGCCCATCTTTTTTCTTACTGTATCCCCACAAAGACATTTGCAATACAAATTTGTTGTACAAATAATTGAAAGTGAAGTATAATTAGAAAATAAAAGGCTTACGGGTCCATTGGTTTATATGGAAGGATCAGTGGCATGTGTTTTTTGTGAAATAAGTCAAAGGGTTCTCTGCCTTTTACCATATGCCATGAATTACTGCAAAGTATAGATGGGGTGGTACATCTTTCTCATCGTGTACATTGAAGGCCCAGGTAATGGAGGCGATCACTAGTTACCTGATGGTTTTGATCATGCTGAGGCCCATTTCAACACAGCAATGGGCATGGTCCTGACGGGGCTCGGGAAGTCCAGAAACGCAGTAGTAGCAGTCCCCCAGGATTTTAATGCGAAGGCAGTGATGCTCCTGGAAGGAACAGAGTGTAAAGGAAAAGATTGTATCAGCAGGAGGACCAGATCTTCAGAAACCTACAGAAAGATGCAAGCAGGGTCAGGTGGTCTGCACCATGGGGTTGGGAGCATTCACCTTTAAAACACATTTCAACTAATCTTATAGTTTGGATCTGAAATACCTCCCCAAAGGCCTAGGTATTAAAGGCTGAGCTTCTAGCTTGGTGACTTTAAGAGGTGGTGGAAACTTTAAGAGGTGGCCTAGTGGGAGATCTTTTAATCACTGGTGGATGCCTTTGAACAGGATAGCAGGACTGCACTACTTCCTCTATCTTTGCTTCCCAGCCACCATGGTTTTAGTAGCTTGCTCCACCATGTGCTCTCTCATGTTGAGTGTCCTTACTGCAGGTCCAAAAGCAATGGGGCCAGCCATTAATAGTCTGAAACCCCCAGGCTGTGAGCCAAAATAAATCTTTTCTTTTTGTAAGTTAATTATTTCAGATATTTTTGTTATAGTGATAGAAATCTGTCTAACAAAGTTGCTTTAAATCAATGGTTGGGACTGAATGACCTTGAAAATGCCTTGTAGATCTGAAGCTCCAGGAACCCATGAATTTTGAGTTCCATGAGTAAAGGGATCTTCTTGAGAAAGCAGGGTCCCATGGCTGGTTGAGTGGAGTTATTAACAGAAAGGGGCCCACTGAAAGCACAGCCCAGTTGATATACTTGAATTGCTAAGCTAACAGCATTATGATGATTTCCTAATCTCAGTGAGAGTTTGGATAACACATGGATAAAAACGCCTTCCCAATAAAAAGGAAATATCAGACAGGGAAAATAAAATTTGAACTGACTATGATGCTTCCCTGTGTGGGTCAGATTTCTAGGATTTTGCCAACCTCCCCAAATGGAAACAGAGTCAATCTACAAGACCCTGTATCAGGAACAACTACCCTAGGGTTATTTTTAGGAGCTTAGGGTTAATTTCTATTGGCTGCTTCAGTGCAGCTAATTTTGGAAGACAGCTAATGATGAAGTCTGGTTGGTCAGGGAAGCTCAAAGCCTTCAGTTTCTTCTAAACTCTCAAGAGTTCCTGGCTGGAATGGAACATAGAGAGTACTTTGTCCACTGGTGTTGGCAGTACCACATTTGTGAAGTCCATGTACTGTTATTTAAAAACAAGTCAGAGAACACTGAGACTGTCATAGGGTACACTTTAAAAAAAAATTCCAGAAAATTTATGAAAAATCCATCAACAAATAAAGATAATGAAAATATTATCTATGAGCCTGGTTATGTTAAAAAAGTAAGGACATTCTAAACACTAAAAAAGTAAAAAAGATAAATTCTTAGAAGAAAATTCATTCCTAATTCTACTAATTTGGGTTTTTTCTCTCCTCATTTTAGTCAGGTTTGCCAGAGGTCTATCGATCTTGTTTATTTTTTCAAAGAACCAGCTTTTTGTTTCATTAATTCTTTGTATTTTTTTTTGGTTTCTATTTCATTGATTTCAGCTCTTATTTTTATTATTTCTCTCCTTCTATTTGTTCTGGGATTTGCTTGTTCTTGTTTTTCTAGGAGTTGGAGATGTATCATTAGGTCATTGATTTGGGATCTTTCAATCTTTTTAATATATGCACTCATGGCTATAAACTTTCCTCTCAAGACTGCCTTAGCTGTGTCCCATAGGTTCTGGTAGGTTGTGTTTTCATTTTCATTGACTTCCAGGAACTTTTTAATTTCCTCTTTTATTGCATCGATGATCCATTCTTCATTAAGTAATGAGTTATTTAGTTTCCAGCTGTTTGCATGTTTTTTGTCTTTACTTTTGTTGTTGAGTTCTACTTTTACTGCATTGTGGTCAGATAGTATGCACGGTATTATTTCTATTTTCTTATATTTGCTGAGGCTTGCTTTGTGCCCTAGGATATGATCTATTTTGGAGAAGGTTCCATGGGCTGCTGAGAAGAATGTATATTGTGTAGAGGTTGGATGAAATGTTCTGTAGACATCTACTAGGTCCATTTGATCTATTGCATATTTTAGACCTTGGATTTCTTTATTGAGTTTTTGTTTGGATGACCTATCTATTGATGATAATGGGGTATTAAAGTCTCCCACAACCACTGTGTTGGTGTTTATATATGCTTAGTAGTATTATGAATGCAAAAGGGGAGATAACAACAAACACCATGGAAGTCCAGGAAATCATCAGAGACTACTTTGAGAACCTTTATTCAAATAAATTTGAAAATCTAAAAGAAATGGACAGATTTCTAGACACATATGATCATCCAAAACTGAACCAAGAGGAAATTAGTCACCTGAATAGACCTATAACACAAAATGAAATTGAAGCAGCAATCAAGAGTCTCCCCAAAAAGAAAAGTCCAGGACCTGATGGATTCTCTGCTGAATTCTATCAGGCCTTTAAAGAAGAACTGATACCAGCCCTCCTTAAACTGTTCCATGAAATAGAAAGGGAAGGAATACTGCCTAACTCATTCTATGAAGCCAGTATTACACTTGTCCCAAAACCAGGCAAAGATACCTCCAAAAAGGAGAACTATAGGTCAATCTCCTTAATGAACATTGATGCAAAAATCCTCAATAAAATAATGGCAAACTGAGTTCAACAACACATCAAAAAGATCATTCACCACGACCAAGTAGGCTTCATCCCAGGGATGCAGGGGTGGTTCAACATACAAAAATCAATAAATGTAATAAACCACATTAACAGAAGCAAAGACAAAAACCACTTTATTATCTCAATAGATGCAGAAAAAGCCTTTGATAAGATCCGACACCATTTCATGATAAAAGCTCTAAGAAAACTGGGAATACAAGGAAAGTACCCCAACATTATAAAAGCTATATATGACAAACCTACAGCCAGCATTATACTTAATGAGAAAAACTGAAAACATTCCCTCTAAAAAATCAGGAACAGAAAGGATGCCCACTATCTCCACTCCTATTCAACATAGTACTGGAATTCCTAGCCAGAGCAATCAGGCAAGAAGAAGGAATAAAAGGAATACAAATAGGTAAAGAAACTGTCAAAATATCCCTATTTGCAGACGACATGATCCTATACCTTAAAGACCCAAAAAACTCTACTCAGAAGCTTCTAGACATCATCAATAGCTATAGCAAGGTAGCAGGATATAAAATCAACATAGAAAAATCATTAGCATTTCTATACACTAACAATGAGCAATGGAAAAGAATGTATGAAAACAATTCCATTTACAATAGCCTCAAAAAAAATCAAATACCTAGGTGTAAACCTAACAAAAGATGTGAAAGACCTCTACAAGGAAAACTATACACTTCTGAAGAAAGAGATTGAGGAAGACTATAGAAAGTGGAGAGATCTCCCATGCTCATGGATTGGGTAGAATCAACATAGTAAAAATGTCGATACTCCCAAAAGTAATCTACATGTTTAATGCAATTCCCATCAAAATTCCAATGACATTCATTAAAGAGATTGAAAAATCTACTGTTAAATTTATATGGAAACACAAGAGGCCACGAATAGCCAAGGCAATACTCAGTCAAAAGAACAATGCAGGAGGTATCACAATACCTGACTTCAAACTATATTACAAAGCAATAACAATAAAAACAGCATGGTACTGGCACAAAAACAGACATGAAGACCAGTGGAACAGAATAGAGGACCCAGATATGAAGCCACACAACTATAACCAACTTCTTTGACAAAGGAGCTAAAAAAGATAGCATAGCAGCCTCTTCAACAAAAACTGCTGGGAAAACTGGTTAGCAGTCTGCAAAAAACTGAAACTAGATCCATGTATATCACCCTATACCAAGTTAACTCAAAATGGATCAAGGATCTTAATATCAGACCCCAAACTCTAAGTTGATACAGAAAGAGTAGGAAATACTCTGGAGTTAGTAGGTATAGGTAAAACTTTCTCAATGAAACCCCAGCAGCACAGCAACTAAGAGAAGCATAGATAAATGGGACCTCATAAACTAAAAAGCTTCTGTTCATCAAAAGAAATGGTCTCTAAACTGAAGAGACTACCCACAGAGTGGGAGAAAATATTTGCCAACTACACATCAGACAAAGGACTGATAACCAGAATATATAGGGAACTTAAAAAACTAAATTCTCCCAAAACTAATGAACCAATAAAGAAATGGGCAAGTGAACTAAACAGAACTTTCTCAAAAGAAGAAATTCAAATGGCCAGAAAACACATGAAAAAATGCTCACCATCTCTAGCAATAAAGGAAATGCAAATTAAAACCACACTAAGATTCCACCTCACCCCTGTTAGAATAGCCATCATCAGCAACACCACCAACAACAGGTGTTGGGCGAGGATTCGGGGAAAAAGGAACCCTCTTACACTGTTGGTGGGAATGTAGACTAGTACAACCACTCTGGAAAAAATTTGGAGGCTACTTAAAAAGCTGACATCGATCTACCATTTGATCCAGCAATACCACTCTTGGGATATACCCAAAAGACTGTGACACAGGTTACTCCAGAGGCACCTGCACACCCATGTTTATTGCGGCACTATTCACAATAGCCAAGTTATGGAAACAGCCAAGATGCCCCACCACTGACGAATGGATTAAGAAAATGTGGTATCTATACACAATGGAATTTTATGCAGCCATGAAGAAGAACGAAATGTTATCATTCGCTGGTAAATGGATGGAATTGGAGAACATCATTCTGAGTGAGGTTAGCCTGGCCCAAAAGACCAAAAATCGTATGTTCTCCCTCATATGTGGACATTAGATCAAGGGCAAACACAACAAGGGATTGGACTTGAGCACATGATAAAACGAGAGCACACAAGGGAGGGGTGAGGATAGGTAAGACACCTAAAAAACTAGCTAGCATTTGTTGCCCTTAACGCAGAGAAACTAAAGCAGATACCTTAAAGCAACTGAGGCCAATAGGAAAAGGGGACCAGGAACTAGAGAAAAGGTTAGATCAAAAAGAATTAACCTAGAAGGTAACAC